TGCAAGCGTGCACGCGTTGTGCGTGTGTGTACCTGAGAGTGCGTGCATGCAAGCGTGCACGCGTTGTGCGTGTGTGTACCTGAGTGTGCGTGCATGCGAGCGTGCACGTGTTGTGCGTGTGTGTACCTGAGTGTGCGTGCATGCGAGCGTGCACGTGTTGTGCGTGTGAGTGTGTGAGAGTGCGTGCATGCAAGCGTGCGTGCGTTGTGAGTGTGTGTACGTGAGTGTGTGCGTGCATGCGAGCGTGCACGCGTTGTGCGTGTGTGTACGTGAGTGTGTGCGTGCATGCGAGCGTGCACGCTTGACCGGTGCGCGTGCGCGCGCGTGTGCGTGTATGCGTGTGTGTGCGTGTGTGTGCGTGTATGCATGTGGGTGTGTGCATGTGCGCGTGCGTGTGTGTCCGCATGCGTCTGTGCGTGCGTGCGTGTGTGTGCGCGCATGCGTCTGTGCGTGCGTGCGTGTATGCATGTGTGTGTGGGCGTGCGTGTGTACGTGTGTGTGCGTGCGTGCATGCGTGCATGCGTGCATGTTTGTGCGTGCGTGTGTATAGATCTGTGCACGTCGCCGTTTGCGTTTGCTAACGTGTGCGTCATCATCGCGTTCTCCCTAACGCACGCTCGCTTGTTTTACAGCCAGGAAAATTTCGTAACAATCGTAGAGCTTCCAGACGGTGAACACCAGTACAAATATTATGTAGACGGTGACTGGCATCATGACGTGGACGAGGTACACAGCGTCGTGAGAGAGCGGTGCAGCAACCACCTCAGCCTGCACCCCTACTGCCGACACCCACACGCTTACATTCATGACCCCCTCTCATAGCTTGATCACACAGGCGCACGCACATGTACACACATTGCAGTTACGTACGTGTACGGGTGTGTATGTGTTTGTGACCTGTATTGTATTTGTAATACATATGTGTAAGAGAATTGTATTTGTACGTATGTGTGTATCTGTTACGTACTTGTATGTTAACTAATTTATACGTGTATGTGCATATGCACGTAAATGTGTACATGTCTGTGTACTTTGTAAATACATGTATATATGTATATGTAAATGCATACATGTCTGTGCATTTCATATATATACATGTATATTATGTATGTGTGTGCGCGTGCGTGTGCGTGTGTATGTGTCTGTGTGTGTACTATGAGATCACGTACGTTTTAAAATGTGTGTCTTTACTAATTTGTCTACGTACTGGTGTATATGTACACTCTTGTGTGTGCGTGCGTGCGCGTGTGCGTGCATGTGTACGTGCGTGAATGCGCTGTTACGCTTGCTTTGTTTGCTTCTCACTGCACACGACATCATCGCACGCTTGGGGGTGTAGCAGCTTCACGAAGCGTGAAGCGAACGCTCTCGCTGAAACAACGCCCGCATCGTCAACCCCCCCCCTCCTCCTCCAGCGTGGCTTCAGTAACCCTGTGGCGCGCGACTCCGCGTGGCGTTATATTTTGTTACGTGCTGGCAGTCGCTGCGGACGTGGCACGGTTGCCTGCCGCGCGGTTGTCGCTGCAGACGTGGCACGGTTGCCTGCCGCGCTGGACAGTCCCATGCATTGCTGATCGCTGCATGGTTGTGTTTCAGTCCCGACGGTGAATTTGTTGCCATAGTACCGCTGGAAGAGGGTGCACATCAGTACCAGTATGAGGTCGATGGGTGCTGGCTCACAAACCCTAACGAGGTAGTTATCGTCGGCCTTCGCCGGGCTATCATCGTCGTGCTCAACCCTAGAGAAGTAGTCTGTTGTCTCCATGGCAACCGTGTTAACGTCAATGTTAGAGAAATAGTTTGTTTTCTCCATAGCAACCGTGTTATCGTCAACATTAAAGAACTGGTTTGTTGTCAATGGCAACTGTGTTATCGTCAACATTAAAGAAATAGTTTGTTGTCAATGGCAACTCTGTTATTATCAACATTAGAGAAATAGTTTGTTGTCTCCACGGCAACCGTGTTATCGTCAACATTAAAGAAATAGTTCGTTGTCAATGGCAACTCTGTTATTATCAACATTAGAGAAATAGTTTGTTGTCTCCACGGCAACCATGTTATCGTCAACATTAGAGAAATAGATCGTTGTCAGTGACAACCCTGTTATCGTCAACATTAGAGAAATAGATCATTGTCAATGGCAACCATGTTATCGTCAACATTAGAGAAATAGTTCGTTGTCAATGGCAACCCTGTTATCGTCAACATTAGAGAAATAGTTCGTTGTCAATGGCAACCCTGTTATCGTCAACATTAGAGAAATAGTTCGTTGTCAATGGCAACCCTGTTATCGTCAACATTAGAGATTTAGTTCATT